TATCTATGGTTGTAGACCTTAGATATTTCAAACTATGAATTCTGTTAGATCAAATATTCTGAATTTGAAATATCAAAGGTTTACAACATCAGATTCCAAAGGTTTACATATTTGAGTTTGTGCCAAAGACTCAATTCCTTTATAAATTGACTGTAAGAAAAAATAGAAAAATAGAAAATAGAATACCTTTATTACATCTTCCATCATGTTATAAGCATCTAATATGTCGAGGTCTTGTTTTTGCAAAAGTTTTAGTTTAAAGTATCTTAAAATTTTGTGTTAACAGTGAATTTAGACAAATCCTTAGTCTTTGTCATTGTCAGCTGTTACTTTTTAAATTTGTTTCCTTTTAATTTTGTATTTTCCAGGGGGGGGGGCAAGAGGACTACTGCCCCCCCCCTATGTACGCCACTGTTTAGCATAGAGATAAATATTTAATTTTCAGAAAAAGCATATGTGTTAGTATAAGTAGACACATTTTTAAGTGTTTTAATTTTTAGTGAAGTCGGCAGTATGCAATTAGGAGATGTTAAAATAAAAATGTAGAAAATGCACATATATTGCGTACATTCAAACAAGACTAATTCATGTCTCAGTGACAAACAAAATCAAAAAGTATTATATTAAACTGAACGGGCGTTTCACCAGAAATTGATTAGTATAGGATCATATTTGTGGGAGGTTTGAGCTAAGAAGTTTGAAATTTTAAAGAAGATAGAAATGCGAAAAATTCATAGTTCAAATAATTAATTATACTTCCGGCCGTTGGAATAGGATTATTCAACAGAGATGTTAAAGTTTAATTTAATTAAAAGCCTGAATAAATATTTGAACCAACTGAGCTAAAGGCAAGGAAAAGCAACCTGTCCTAATCCGGTTTCATATACTACATTTTAATGAATCCATCAATAAGTATCTGTAACTTTATTTTTGATTAATTTTAAAAGATGGAGAAATCCCCGAAATACTGTTTACTTTATTACTGATAAACTTAATGAAGAGTGGTCGTAAAAAGATTGCCTTCCATTATTTACAATGACTCCCTAAAAAGTTATAATTAACTAAAACCAAAATTGTAAAAAGCTTAAATAACGTATTTTATTAGAAACCAAATCCTGGAAAAATAGTCTGCCGGTTGTTCTTTCTCTACCTGGGATCTTCATGCATTAGAACTTCAAGGTCATACATTCGTCTTTGCTTTTTGTTACCCAGAACACTGTACGCGGCATTAATCTTGACAAACTGAAAAATTGTGTAAAAAGTAAATTTTCCAGTTTTCTCCCCTACTCCTTAAACCTCTATGTCCAATGATAAAAAAATATTCCTAATATCCCTGATATTCCTGACCTCCCTGATATTCCAAATATCTCTGATATCTCTTATATCCTTGGTATCCCTGGTATCCTTGTTATCCCTGGTATCCATGATATTCCTGGTATTCCTAGTAATATCCCTGGTATCCTTATAGTATTTCTGGTATCCCTGATATCCATGATATCTTCATGTATCCCTTGTATCCCTGGTACCCCTGGAATCCCTGGTATCCTTGATATTCCTGATATTCCTGATATTCCTGATATCCCTGGTATCCCTGGTATCCCTGGTATCCCTGGTATCCCTAGTATCCCTGGTATCCTTAAAGTATATCTGATATCCATGATATCCCTGGTATCCCTGATATCCATATCTCTGGTATCCCTGGTATCCCTAATAACCCTGGTATCCCTAATATCCCTGGTATCCCTTGTATCCCTGATATCCCTATTATCCCTGGTATCCCTGGTATCTCTGATATCCCTGGTATCCATGATATCTCTGATATCCTTGATATCCCTGGTATCCCTGATGTACCTGGTAACCCCTATATCCCTATAATATCCCTATTATATCCCTAATATCCCAGGTACGTATTCATGGTAACCCTGGTATTCTTGGTATCCTTGGTATTCGTGATATCCCTGGTATCCCTGGTATCCCTGATATCCCTGGTATCCCTGATGTACCTGGTATCCCTGATAACTCTATAATAACCCTATTATATCCCTGATATCCCAAATATCCCAGGTAAGTATTCCTGGTATCCCTGATATCCATTGTATCCAACCTTGTTATGAATAGTCTCCATTTTAGCATCATCAACGCCTGCATTATAGTCGGGGTGGAACTCCTTGGAGAGCCGAATATAGGCAGTTCTGTAAAAAATATTTTTTTGTAAAAACTTAAAACTATATCTAAAACCAAAAATCTATAATTTTAAACACAAATATTTTACTTAACAACATAATGATACATAAGGTCTGCCACAAAGATAATCTAACCAGACGACACAATGTCAAAAAGAGTGTCTACCCCTCTGAAAAACTGCCAAAAAGAGTATACCCCAACTGCCAATTAGTGTTCCTAATTAAATGAATAAAATTTTCCACAAAATCTCTCGATAAACCCCTGATCGAAGAAAATATAAGAAGATTGAATCAATAAGAAATGTAAGATGTCTAAACAATTACAAGAATTTTTTTTGCCGAGATTATCACATTAAAAATAATGTTTTTTTCCCAACTTTCCAATTACTTCACTAAAATTTCTTTTTAACTTGTTTTCTTCAAAAATCTCTTTATTTCCTTCTCCTCCTCCCAAACCTGAACATTGTGTGTGCTCAGAAGATTTTTTCAAACGTCATTTTCATAAGAATACATTTAAGCCTATCTTCTTATACTTATTACTTATCTACCATTATTTAGATCAAGTAACCATAAAAAGATAATAATATTAAATCTGACAAACAATAACACTAAAATTAAATAGCATTAAAAATGGTCTGTTTTCCCATTTAATTTAGGCGGGAGAACATATTTTATGAGGGATAATTTTCAAAGCTTTAGAAAAATTAAATAAAATATTTTTAAATTTTTTATTTTATTTAATTATCCTAGAAATAGTAAAACTTGAGGAACAGATCCGGTTCCCGTTTCTAATCGACTGTACTTAACACTTTATTTTAGTTATCACGATATTGCCTGATTTAAAATCGTGACCCCTGTATCAATTGATTTCAGATGGTCTTTACACTCCAGAGCCCGCGATTTAAAAGCTTCGGCTCGAGTCGTAATTCCTTAAACCTGACTCAACTCTAACGACATCAGCTTTTGTCACGTGATTGATAGCTACAAGATCTTCGACTCGACATAAGGAGTTAGGCCCAATGAAAATAAAACCGACCTTGGTTGGTTTTAGTGGAGAATAAGGCTCAATGTTGCGTCTTGTTCTCATAAAAACTGGGTGCACCACTTCCTACCATGATAATCCGCCAAATAGAATATTAAACTGGTTTTTTGAATTCAACTCGGTGGAAAACAAGATGCAGCTTGAATCCGAAAGCTCAAGCCGTGAATAAGGTCCAATGACAGCTTAGACCCGAGCCGTATTTCCCCGAATTTTTTAAATCGCGGGCTCAGTATATTCTGGTGATCACTGAATCACCTGAGTTAAGATCGTCTTTACACTCTAGTATATTCTAATGATCACTGTGTATCACCTGAGTTCAGATCGTATGTACACTCCAGTATATTCCGGTTACCACATTATTACCTGATTTCAGATCGTCTTCACACTTTAGTACATTCTGGTGATCACTGTTTCACCTGATTTGCTCCTGTGTAGCTTCATAATCTACTCCCAGGACAGAATAATGTGTTTCAGCAGACCAACTTCTCAATCCAGAACTAACAGATAAACACGGGTTCAGAAAATCTAATTTTAACTCTTGCCAAAATAACAATCAAATACATTACATCATGATCAAAATAACAAGTTTAAATAAAATTTTTTGATACTTTTACCAAAATATTTATTCATTATCGACCCAATTAAGCGAATTAATCAAAATAACAACCAAAACAAGATCAAAATAACAACCGAAATAACCACTGACATAACAACTAAAAACCAATTAAGTAACAACCAAAGTGACAACCAAAATGACAGCCAAAATAAAAATCAAAATAACATCCTTTAGACAACCGAAATAACAATCAAAATAATAACCAATATAATAACCAAAATAAACATAACCATCAAAATAATAACCAACATAATAACCAAAACAACAATATTCAAATAACCAAAATAACAATCTAAATAATAACCAAAATAACAACCAAAATAACAATATTTAAATAACCAATATAACAATCAAAATGATAAACAACATAATAACCAAATTAACAAACAAAATAACAATATTGAATAACCAAAATAAAAGTAAAAATAACAACCACAATAACAACCAAATTAGCAACCAAAATAACATTCAAAATAACAATATTTAATAATAATCAAAATAAAACCCAACTTAATAACCAAAATAACAATATTTAAATAGCCAAAATAACAATCAAAATATAATAACCAAAATAACAATTTAAATTACATTGAAAATAACAATCAAAATAATAACCATCATAATAACCAAACTGACAATAAAAATAATGATCAAAGAAACAGTCAAAAGATGTTCCAACATTTTTGGTGCTTTCGATGAAAATTTATTTATTCTCCTCAATTCAGTTAATAACCCCCCCCCCCGAAAAAAAATCATATCAAATTAATCAACTAGAAAAAATTAGAAGGGGGGATTGGGCAAAGATTTAAAGAAATAAATACTCAGGTTTATAAAGGTTTTAAAGATAAAAAATGGAGAAATTAAAATACCTATAAAAATTAAAAGTTTTGTTTTCTCGTTGAAGGAAAGATTTTCTGGCAATACTTCTCCTCATGGTTGCATCATCGGTATTCATGGTTGAAAACTGGTAATTTGGAACGTAGAATACAACATTCTAAAAACAAATATTAACATCATTTCCATTGGTCAATAAATAACTTCATCCCAAATTCCTTCATATCAATTTAGTACATGTATCTTTTATAACGCACATGTTCATAGTTTGAAGTGTGGCTCAGTCTGAACTTCCTCTTAATAATAATAAATAGTATTAATACTCTTTTAAATACTTCAAATTCAGAGGCAAGGTATCAAATTAAAGGGGGGNAAACTTCAATTGTTCTATGTTAAAAGTAACAACTGTATTACGATTAATAAAAGTTCAAAATTTTGTACATAGAGCTCATGATGTTACACATGGTCAAACATGGTCAAAGATAAATATGTGGTCGCAGCGCTCGGTCCCCTCTCCCCTAGCTGTCATGTATAAAATTAATAGGAGGGGGGTGGAGATCACAAAAGCGTTTTGTAGGAAGGAACACAAAACTTTACTCGTCATAATTCATCTATAAATTATTTCTCGGTTATCTTCCTAAAGAAGTATTTTTGGACCCCTCCCCCCCTCATATCAGTTTTAAACATGCATCTCATATTTAACACATGGATAAAGTTGGTCATGTGGCCGCAGCGCCCGGCCCCCTAGCCTGTCCTAGCCGAGGCGTTCGGCCAACTAGCCAGTCCTAACCGCAGCGCTTGGGCCTGTTCTAGCCGCAGCGATCGGCCCAAAAAGTGTCTTAACCTAACCTAACCTTAAATATATATACTAATTATGTTAAAATTTGTTGAAATTAACGGTCTATCCTGCCCTCAAAGATCCGCCCCCTAGCCTGTCCTAGCCGCAGCGTCAGCCCAGAAATTGTCCTAATCTAACTTAACCGTGAAGTAATAAAAAATAATTTTTTTTTGTAGAGAAAAGTTGAAATCTAGGTAATTTACAAAATTGATAGTGCATAGTGGGGGGGGGGGAAGGGTCCGAAAATCGTTCAATAGTACAAACTAATTTCAGTCAAGATATCTGGCCAAATTAGGAAGTTTTAGTTCAATTCTCTTATCTTATAATAAACTTCCTTGTCATCATTAAAATAATCGTGTGAGAATTACTTGTCTTCTAGAAATGCCCCCCACACTTCGGCTTTTAAGCTGTGCAAACGTTTGACACTTGTAGTTGTACCTGCAAGCCTGCAGTGTCAAAAGTTTTAGTCCATAACTACAATGCCATCTGTGTGAAATCATTTAGTAATGGATAAACTAGAAATTAATGTTTAATGTAAGATGTTATATTATTTATTTTTCCTCTCTTTAATATATTTACATTATTTCAGGAATTTAGACAAATTAAATGATAAAATGAGTGATGAGGGTGGAGGAACCCCTCCTGCTCAAGCAGGCCCCCCTCCTCAGGGGTATCCAGGATATCCTCCTGCAGGAAGCAATCCTCCGTATGGCGGACCACCTCCCCCTGGGGCCTACGGCGGTCCCCCACCCCCTGGTGGACCACTTTCAGGACCTCCTGGACCACCCAACGGTGGACCAGGCTATGGTGGACCACCACCTAACCGAACCATGGGCTACACTGGTCCTCCAGGAGGGCCTGCTCCTGGACCTCCTGGTGGTCCACCCGGTGGTCCTCCTGGAGCTGTCGGAGGTCCTAGACCTCCGGGCCCTCCTGGTGGATATGGACCACCCCCAACAGACATACAGAAATTGCAGAATTCGATTAACGCAATGGAGGAACGAGGTATGACTGGGGATCCCCGGTATAACCAGGCCCGTCAGCTCCATCAGTCCCTGGTCTCCCAGCAACCTTCTCCTGGACCTGGTGGAGATCCAGCCAATGGACCTGGTCTTCCACCAATAGGACCTGGTGGTGCTAGTGGAGCATTAGGGAACCCTCAAGTGATGCAATTGAGAGCTCAAATAATGGCGTACAGGATGCTAGCTCGGCACCAACCTCTCCCGCCACAAATAGTTATGGCTGTACAGGGTAAGAGAACTGATGGTCCACCAGCTGGACCTCCAGCTGGGCCTCCTTATCCAACTACACGTCCTGGAGGTCCTTCTCCTGGTAGCGGATCACAGACACCTCCACCTCCTACATCTACTCCTGCCTCCACAACACCCACTACCGCTGCTACAGCTCCTCCTACTACGTCTACTCCTCCCACCACTAATGGAGCAGCTCCGCCTCCTCCTCGTCCTGTCCCAGGACCTGGCCAAAGTGGAGTTCAGCAGGGAAAACCCAACCGTGTTACACCCATTGCTAAACCAGCTGGGATTGATCCTGTCACAATTCTTCAGGAACGTGAAAATCGTCTAGCCAGTCGAATAGCTCATCGAATCGACGAACTCACTAATCTCCCTGTCAACATGGCCGACGATGTGAAGATGAAGGCGGAAATAGAACTACGTGCACTCCGACTGTTAAACTTCCAGAGGTCTCTAAGAGCAGAGGTTGTTGCCTGCACCAGGAGAGATACAACCCTGGAGACTGTTATCAATGTTAAAGCCTACAAGAGAACCAAACGTCAAGGTTTAAGAGAGGCGCGTGCCACAGAACGACTAGAGAAGCAACAGAGAATAGAATCTGAAAGGAAACGTAGACAGAAGCATCAAGAATATTTAAATGCTGTTCTTACACACTCCCGCGAGCTCCAGGCCTGGCATAAAAACAATCAGATCAAACTGCAGAAGATCAACAAGGCCATCCTGGCATGGCACGCCAACGCAGAGCGCGAACAGAAGAAGGAACAGGAGAGAATTGAGAAGGAGCGTTTGAGACGTTTGATGGCTGAAGATGAAGAAGGATACAGACTTCTTATTGATCAAAAGAAGGATAAACGTCTCGCATTCCTTCTCAGTCAGACGGACGAGTACATCAACCAGCTTACCGACATGGTCAGAAACCACAAGAAAGAGCAGAGGGCGAAGTTGAAGGAGATGAAGCGAGCTCAGAAGATCGAAGAGATCGCCAGGATCCCTGAAAGTCAGCAACGAGTTCCTTGTAAAAACAAGGTGACTGGAGAAGTATTGAAAGGACTTAATGCCCCATTGGCTCTTGAACTTGATATGTTTCTGGAGAAAAATCCTGATTATGATGCCTTGCCCCGGGACTACAGCGAGAGTGATGAAGAGACCGAGGACGAGGAGGAGGTTGAGAAGAAGGTTGAGAAAGTGGATGATGAGGATAAACCTAAAGGTGAGTTAGATGAGGTGATGAGTGCAATTGAGAAAGCTAAGAAAGAAGCTGATGATGAATATAAGAAGGGTATGCAAGGAGATACTAATTACTACGCTATTGCTCACACCGTGATAGAGGAAGTTCACGAGCAGGCCTCCATCATGGTGGGAGGTACCCTCAAGGAGTACCAGGTCAAGGGTCTGGAGTGGTTGGTCTCCTTATACAACAATAACCTCAACGGAATCCTAGCGGACGAGATGGGATTGGGTAAAACTATTCAAACAATTGCTTTGATCACCTACATTATGGAAAAAAAGAAGAACATGGGACCTTTCCTTGTCATTGTCCCTCTCTCCACCCTGTCTAATTGGGTCATGGAGTTCCAAAAATGGGCTCCATCAGTAGTTGCTCTCGCATACAAGGGTAGCCCTGTAGCTAGGAGGGCTGTGCAGAGTCAGATTAGATCTGGAAAGTTTAACGCCCTCATCACAACCTACGAGTATGTTATTAAGGACAAGGCTATACTTGCCAAGCTCAGATGGAAGTTCATGATAATTGACGAAGGGCATAGGATGAAAAATCACAACAACAAGTTGACCTTCACCATCAACACCTGCTACACAACCACTCACAGGTTGTTGTTGACCGGAACCCCGCTGCAGAATAAACTACCTGAGCTCTGGTCTCTCCTTAACTTCCTCTTGCCGTCCATCTTCAAGGCCTGCGATACCTTTGAGCAGTGGTTCAACGCACCCTTCGCCACTACCGGAGAGAAGGTTGAGTTGAATGAGGAGGAAACTATTCTTATTATTCGTCGTCTGCACAAGGTTCTCCGACCTTTCCTACTCCGTAGGCTAAAGAAGGATGTCGAGTCCCAGCTGCCAGATAAGGTAAACAAGAATAATTGTTGATTCAAACTCATTCTGATAATTTTTGATAATTGCGGCGACTTTCTTGGACTTCAACAGAGTGGGAGAGGGTAGAGGACGAAATATAATCAGAATAAAAGATAAATGAAAATATCTTACTTAAAAGTTTCTTCACTACACGTACACGTAGTATTTAAGGAGAATAATTTAGAGTGAACTTCAAAACAAGTAGAAACCAATCTTTTGTCCAAAAGTATGTGAGTTTACATTTGTCTCGTGTAATTATGGATTGTTTACAAATTATCTGAAAAATCTTGTTAGAATATGAATTAAAACCAATCGAAAAGACTTGTATTTAAGTAGTTAAAACCCTATAACAATTTATTTAGCGACCAAAAGTGTAATTGAAGAACTTTCATCAAAAACACGAACATTTAAAAATTATTTTGTCTAGGTTGAGTACATTATCAAGTGTGAGATGTCTGGTTTGCAGCGGGCCCTGTACCAGCACATGCAGGAGAAGGGGATTATGTTGACGGAGCACGGTGGTAAGAAGGACGGGAAGGGAGGAACCAAGGCGTTGATGAATACTATTATGCAGCTCAGGAAACTTTGCAATCATCCCTTCATGTTCCAGGTCAGTAAAACATTTAATATTTTTATTTTTTGTGTTTTTATAGAAAAAAACGTGAAGTTTTGTATCATTATATTTTATAATGTTTTAAACATTCAAAAACATTTTAAACAAAAAATTTAAACTAAACCTAAAAAGTTTCTCAACATTTTGTTACTTTTCAGCATATTGAAGAGTCATACGCGCGTCATGTTGGTATGCCTACTGACGTTATCCAGGGTCCGGATATTTACAGGTATTTTGACGCATTTTTCATGACTTGTACGCAATTAAAAGAAATTCAAAGTTGCGCACATAGGATAAGACTTCAGAGACGGTTGGACAGAATTGTTATATTTATGGCTCCCTGAGGCTGTAAGCTTGTTTCAATTTAAGCGAAATCTTTTAAAATACTATAAAATGACATAACTATTGATTTAAAGCAACAAATTAAGTTAAACCTTAGGATTGCTAAAATTTAAGAGATGATTGAAGTCTCGTCCTGTATGAGTAACACTGTTTAGGGCATCTGGAAAGTTTGAGCTCCTTGACCGTATATTCCCGAAGTTGAAGAGAAGCGGTCACAGAATCCTTCTCTTCTGTCAGATGACACAGCTGATGACCATCCTGGAGGACTACCTCAACTGGAAGCAGTACAAGTACCTCAGGTAGGTCAAAAAGTATATAATGTTGGATAAAAGCTTGTTTACTGAACGATTTTAGCATCAGGGTCAACTTCACTCCAACTGGAAAGTTCAATCCAATTGGGTTTTAATCTATATATAAATTTGGCTTGTCTGTCTGTTTGTTTGTCTGTTTGTTTGTTTGTATCCAATAAACGTCAAAACGGCTGAACCGATCGGGCCCAAATTTGTTGTGTGACATCTAGGGACTCCAGGGAAGGTTTATGAATGATCAAAATTTCAAATATTTGTCTCCATCAAAATTCGATCTTCATTAAATTTTTGAAAATTTTGAAAATCCACGAAATTTTTTGTGAAAATCCGCGAATTATTTTTGTTTTGTTTTACGATGTACACAAAGAGAACATGTTCACAATTAATTTAGAAGATGGGCGCTAAGGCTAATAAAACCACCAATGTGTAAATTTGTAACTTCTTTATGTTGTGGCTAGTTATATAAAAATCAGTTTTATATTATATTATATGTCAATGATTAAAGTAAGAGCAAAATTGTGGAACTCCTCAATATAACCAATATATTTTAGAAGTTTTCATGACAAAAAAAGAAAAAAGGTTCAAATAGTCACCTTAGTATTTTTGTACATTCCCTGTAAATGGCAGAGACAAAAGAATATGTTCCTGTTGGGGTCTTTTCGTGATCTCATTATGGCTGTAACTGCTGTAAAAGATTGAAAATCATTATCTTATATTTTACCACGAGAAAACCTTCTTTAATGTAATATATAACTTCGTCTGTTTATCGATCTATCTAACTATATGTCTATTTATCCATCTATCTAACTATATGTCTATTTATCCATCTATCTAACTATATGTCTATTTATCCATCTATCTAACTATATGTCTATTTATCCATCTATCTAACTATATGTATATTTATCCATCTATCTAACTATATGTCTATTTATCCATCTATTTAACTATATGTCTATTTATCCATCTATCTAACTATATGTCTATTTATCCATCTATCTAACTATATGTCTATTTATCCATCTATCTAACTATATGTCTATTTATCTAGGCTGGATGGAACCACTAAGGCCGATGACCGAGGTGGTATGTTGAAGGAGTTTAACGCCCAGGACTCTGACCATTTCATCTTCCTGCTGTCAACCCGAGCCGGAGGTTTGGGTCTCAACCTGCAGACTGCTGATACTGTTATTATATTCGACTCAGATTGGAATCCTCATCAGGATCTTCAGGCGCAGGATCGAGCTCATAGGTAAACATCAAACAAAAAATCTTTTTTATAAATGCGGGCAGAAGAAATAATTATGTGAATAAAAAAAATTCTAATTTTGTAATAATATCTTTTTGTTTAGAATTGGACAGAAGAATGAGGTTCGAGTTCTCAGATTAATGACAGTTAACAGTGTAGAGGAGAGAATCCTAGCCGCAGCCAGGTTCAGCCTTCTTTTAATATTTTTTTACTCAGATATTCTTAAAATTGTCGATTATGTCAATCTATGGCCAGACATTTGAAATTAATAATGATGATAATCATTGTTTTCTCCTGTTGTTTTTTGGTTTTATAGGTTGTATGAACTAGAAATTGCATACAAGAACGTAATAATTTGATTTTTCTCTTTCAAATATTTTAATTTCAGACTTTTTCTGTTTTATTAACACTCCATTAAGTATTTCATAAACTAGTTTCCATTCCCTGTATCTAGGTATAAGTTGAATATGGACGAGAAGGTTATCCAGGCTGGTATGTTTAATCAGAGATCCACGGGTAGTGAACGTCAGGAGCTTCTTCAGTCCTTGCTACGTGCTGAGGAGAGTGACGATGAAGAGGAGAATGAGGTTCCTGATGATGAAGTTATTAATCAGATGATTGCCAGGTTAGAAGTATGGTCTTATTTCATTTCATTTGACACTGAATTATGTAGTATAGTATGTACACTGCATGTCTAGGAAACTAATTTCAGTAGTATTTTTTGGATCAAAGACATTCTTTAAGAAAACTTGCGGAGAGGCAAAAAATTGGGTTTTTGTGGGGGGTGGTTAATAAATGAGAATATATTTATGGGGGTTTTAATATTTTGAAGCTTCAAATTAAATTTCAAAATTTACCACTTGCGTTGGGACCCCCACCCCGAATTAACCATAGTGAACAGCATTTGGTTTCTTCTATTTGAAATCAAACGTCTATAATTCAACAACCTTTTACCTATAAGATTTGTATATTCTATGTTTCATTCAAAATGTATATGCCGACAAAAAAATAGCCAAGATAAAAGGCTAAAAAATTATGTTTAATGGGTCAAATTGTGATCGAAAGTCACAGCTTTCTGGAATATTGACAGAACCGTTAAATCCACGTGCCCCACCCAGATTTCATGATTATTCAAATATCCGTTCTTGGAGTCTTTTATTTATATTATGTCTGGGTTTAGATCCGACGAAGAGCTGGAACTGTTTGAGAGGATGGATATAGAACGAAGACGAGAAGAGGCGGAGCTAGGAGCGGAGAGGAAACCTCGTCTTATTGAAGAATCTGAACTCCCAGATTTCCTAAATCAGGCACGTTTTTTGCTGCTATTTAAGTTGGAAGGGGAGCTTCACGAGAGTCGAGCTAACACCCACCATACAGAAAAACCCCCAAAATTGTGGAATGGGCACACGACTGTTAGACTCAAGTTATGCTTAAAGATCATAGAGGCAACAATTGTACATTGTACACTGTGTGTACTACACAAATTTCATGATTGTAAGGGTTTAACTGTAGTAAAGTCACCTTGTTGGAAAAAGCAATATAAAGTCGCCCATTTTGGAAGTGGCAACCATTTTGATAAATTTCAATTCAAGCATTGCCCCTTGTATTTTCTTATTCTCGCGAAGCGCCTCTTTTACGGGTGCGGTACACGCACAGGCGGACACATCTGGGGTCCATTTCCAAGTGTCGAGTGCAACGTTATTGGATCAATAGCCTGTTCAGGATGATGACGATCTGGCGGATATCGAGGCCGAGGAGGCCAGAAAGGAGCTGGATCTAGGACGTGGGAAGGGACGAGGATCTAAGAAGGATGTGACGTATCAGGAGCATCTCAGTGAGAGAGATTGGCTTAAGGTAATAAACTTTAACAATCCATTCTTTCCCAGGTACTCGGCATAGGTCGTAAGGTATTATATATAAAATTTCGAATCTAAAACCCCTAAATGGTGGGGGGGGGGGGGCCAATAGGTTACAAAATTTAATTTTCTTTTTTTTTCTCACTTAAATAAATTCGTTTTAAAATTTTATGTGTCAAGGGAAATCTTTCCCATTAGCCTAGTATTAAGATGTTATGTTTTCAATATTTATATGTTCGCGATGCTTTAGAAAAGAAGAGCTAGAAACTTTTTAAATACAGAATAACGAAAAAAATTTATCGAGAACATTTTTTTAATTCTAAATTTTTGTTTAGGCCATCGGAGCTGAGGATGAGGGGAGTGATGATGATGGATATGATGATTCTCCAAGTAAGAAGAAGGGAGGAAGAGGAGGGAAGAAGAAGAGACGGGATGACGAGGATGAGGATGATGAACCGAAGAAGAAGAAGAAGAAAGCCAACAGGTCCATGATAAAGAAGATGAAGAAGCTGGTTGAGGTTGTGAACCAATATCAGGATGCAGATGGTCGTGTACTCTCTGAACCCTTCTACCAGCTCCCTACTAGGAAGGAGCTGCCCGACTACTATGAGATCATCAAGCGTCCTGTTGATATCGCCAAGATTGAGCAGAGAATTGAGAGTGAAAAGTACGAAGATTTCGACGCTATGGAGAAGGTAGTAATCCCCAATACACACGTAGAAACTTAAAACCCAACAATGAGTTATCTTTTTATTTAAAGTTTACTTACAATGGTCGTCGGATATATAAATACGACGAAGACCCGTTTCAATTTTTGATTATATCCAAGCTTTGACAGCATATGATACATATAAACATGGAATCAAATTAACAGCTTGTCTATGTTTACTTGTAAACTTAAAGAGAAATGTCGTCTTCATTGTATTGTTAATAATTATTTAGGACTTTATGCTGTTGTGTAAGAACACGCAGTTGTACAACGAGGATGGAAGCCTCATATACGAGGACAGTATCGTCCTCCAGTCTGTATTCACCAACGCTAGGGAGAGATTAGAACAGGTACAGTTCTTATCTCAGATTTAATTCATGATTAATCATGTTTTTGAACTATGATATTCGACCGTTTTAAAAGTTGAATGAAATTGTACTAAAATGATGTTGAAAGGAAGTGTAATGATGAAATTATTTTAAGTTGAATGATAAGATATCAAATCAAATGGAACAAATAAATGAAAAATTAGAAGGAAAATAAAACATAAATAATCGGATTAATGAAAGGAACTAGATCAAAGAAATGAATGATGATTTTATGAAATCATGAATATATAATGAAAAGATGATGAAGAGCATAAAAAAAGGATGATTTTATGAAATCATGAATATATAATGAAAAGATGATGAAGAGCATAATAAAAGGATGATTTTATGAAATCATGAATATATAATGAAAAAATGATAAAGAGCTTGAATAAAAGGATGATTTTATGAAATCGGGAATATATAATGAAAAGATGATGAAGAGCATGAATGAAAGGATGATTTTGTGAAAAAATGAAAAGTATAAAAGATTTGATTAATAATGAAGGAACCAAGGCAAGGATGAATACATAAATGAACTAAATATTGTGTACCTGCAGGAGCCGGATGAGCCTGATGATGATGAGGGTGAGGACAGTATGATGGTTGAGGATGAGAGCTCAAGGATGTCGACCATGTCTAGCAGCAGCACGAGCTCAGCTAGGAAGAAGAAGAAGGAAGAGAAGGCCGCCAGGTTAGAAAAATATATTTAAATTTAAAAAAGGAATTTAAGTATGAAGTAAGAAATAAAAACCAGGATAAAATCAAAGATTCAGAAATTTTAATGTTTATCAATAATAATGTTTGTCAACCTTTTATCACATTTTTAGGTCAAGTAAGAAGAAGAAGAAGAAGTATGTTGAAAGTGATGACGAGGATGATGATTAGATATTAATTGGTCCAATAATGAATTAATCTAATCAATATAATTGATTGGTTGCTTTTTAAATCTCATTATTATTATGTAAAATAGAATAATTGTACCGTAGTTGTGGAAATATTTACAATAAATGACGTATTTCACTTACAAGACCTTTTTCAATTTTACGATTAATTTTATATTTTTTCACTAATAATTTGTACTGCACAGCATGTTTCAGGCTTCGCATTCCTCCACTAGAACACTTCATATGTTTTATAAAACACTTTTGAAATATTTATTCAGAAAGGACAAAATGAGAATAAGTCGTCAATCTTTATTGTTTGTAATTTCATTAACTTACAATTTTTACCGAGTTATTTATTTATAATATATATTTTAATGCCATTGGAGAATAAGTTTAAATGACATAAAAAAAGCAAGTTATCTATTTTTATCCGATTCCTATTTCGTTAATTTTCCCTATTATGCGAATGAATCTCTAAAGAGAACGTACATACTGGATGAAAAATAATTAATAAAAGGGAGGGGGAAATGATTTTTCTAGAAAATATGCACTTCCAATATTTTAAGGTCAACCTTATGCCCCTCATTATTTCTCTGTTATGGTACATAAAGGTTAATATTCTCTCCCAGGATCATATTCTCTCTTTACCTACTCCTAGGTTAATATTCTCTCTTTACCTACTCCAGACACCTTGATCGTAAACATTGAACAAAAATTGTTTCCTCAGTTACTAATACCCCTACTGCACAGTTTTTTTTGAGACACCCTGTATATATATATATATAAATTGGTCTGTATACGGAGTGTACAGTTCAACAGAAACTGGACTCCCTTTGTTTACAAACACAGACTTAGAATTTGTATTTAACTTAGATATAGATTTACGTAAACAAACAAACAAAACTTTTTGATTTTCAATCGTGAAAATTTCGTAGGTCTATCTGAAGACGACATTTACATGGGTCATTAGTCTATTTTTTTCTAGTCTTTACTTTCCAAACGATATCTTTTCATGCAATTAATTCCAAACCAAATAAAACCTTATGGCCCAACCTGTCGTCGTTGCCTTAGTCTGTTTCACTTTAGTATTTATTCACTTTGACCTACACCTAGGTTCATAGTCTCTCTTTATCTACTCCTAGGTTAATATTCTCTCTTTACCTACTCCTAGGTTCATATTCTCTCTTTACCTACTCCTAGGTTTCTTTACCTACTCCTAGGTTCATATTCTCTCTTTATCTACTCCTAGGTTCATATTCTCTCTTTACCTACTCCTAGGTTCATATTCTCTCTTTACCTACTCCTAGGTTAATATTCTCTCTTTATCTACTCCTAGGTTCATATTCTCTCTTTACCTACTCCAAGGTTCATGTCCTCTCTTTACCTACTGGTTAATATTCTCTATTCTCCAACTTCTAGGGTAATATTTTCTTCTTTCTACTTCTTGGTTCATATTTTCTCCTTTACTTACTCCCTGGTTCTATCCTATTCCTGGAGCAAAAACAACCTTTTTCCTGACCAGTCTATCCCAGTGTGTATACTGTATAATGAACTCATGTTTTTAGGAGAATTACACATTTATTTTCCTTTATTATGAACACACGTTTTTACATACATACTAGCATATTAGAATATAGGAATCTTAAGAAACTGCTTTGCTTAGCTAATTTAGGATAAACGGGCGTTTATATTGTTTCCGACCTAAAATGTGATAAATGTGAATACGAATTCGATTTCTACCGGAAATGCAGACTGTGTGCGTAGATTGCGTATTGCGTAATTCTATTGTTTTTATCTTTCTATTTTCGAAATCATTACATTTAAGCAAAGTTACTTGTATGACTTTTCTACTTTTCAACTACTCCGGTTTGCAAGATTAAGAAAACTATTTTGATTGAATATCAAGGTTTATAATAGCATAATAAATATTAAACAATTTTCAGAAAAATGCTTTTTTTGAACTGTCTTAACTGAACTTGGCAATTTAAAAGCCCTGAGTATTTGTGGAGCCCTTTTATCTATCTATCTTTATTTTTATACACTTTGCTTGTCTGTCTATCTGTGTGTTTGTTTGCATCCAGTAAACGTCAAAATGGCTGGACCGATCCGGAAATCGTATATTAGAAATTACCGCTGGTTTTGTACAAAATTGTTTACTTTGACGGACCCAAAGCATGCACATTATCATTGTTATTGAAATTGTTACAATTTTTTGTTTCCCCCCCGTTCTATCAATTTTGTACATAACTGAAGCGGTAATTTCCTAATATACGAGTTGTTGACCCCCTTCTCCCTCCTATCAATTTTGTACATGGATTTCACATGTATCACTCACCCGGACCAAATATAACGCCCGGTCTGGATGTAACGCTGCACCGGCCCAAATTTTGATCAAATTTTGAAAATCCACGAAAATCCGCGAACTTTTTTATTATTGTTTTATATTGTAGACAAAGAGAAAATGTTCACAATTTAAATACAAGATGGGCGCGAAGCGGCCTAAAAGTCTAGTAACTTTATACTATTCTTGATATCACAATTTAAAACATTAATATGTTTGGGTGAAAAGATCTAATCTCAAATCATTGATATAAAAAACAAGAATTAGTCGAGTCCAATCAGGAGTAGGAACGAAAACAGATGATATTTCTGCAGTTGACAAAAGAAAACAATTGTCACCATTTTATGACGATAAACTTTTGAAAACCCCATTCGATGGATCTATTAAATGAATATCTTTAATGTCACAGATGCTAAATTTCTTCATTATTATTCAGTACAAGACATAAGCCTTCTCTTAATTGCGCCCCGGGGTCTTTAGATTTCTTGGGACAGCAATTAAAATTTGGTTTAATTACTTCCATCCTGCATACTGATACAGTGAGCACAGTTTTAATATGTACACAGAGATTTAGTAAATAAACCCTTATTCGATACTACATAAATAGTTGGGTTAGAGCCCCCCCTCCCATCGGACTATTTTTTTATCAAAAACATGTCAAATCAGGATTTGGCCAACAAAAATACAAAATAATGGTCATTTTTATTTTCAAATTCTTCAGTACACAAATTGCGACAGAAGGAGAATTTCAAATTTATACGAAATTATTGGTACGACTTTGTGATCTCGTAGCTCCTCTGGTTTTGAATTTACTCTGAAGTATGAAAAAAAAACAAATTTATTTGGCCCTATTTTGGAAATTCAAAACATTTCTCTTCTTATCAATAGCTCTTTAGGAAGAGAAGTTATAAAGGACGGAAAACCGGTTTTTTTATGAAATTATTTTTATCTGTTGATTATAAATAAAATTCAATTTAACTCAGTCTTTTCTGCTTCATTAATATTCAGTGAATATTAATGTAATTTATGAAAGTGTTGATTTTTTACAATCGCAGAAAATTAGCCGCGAATGTGTCCAAGGCAAATCCTTACACATGGTTAACCACAAAGGAGATCTAAAACTCTTGTTATAATGTAAAAGCCTATTAATTGTAGGTAATTCTTTTGATGTGTTATTTGTTATTTACTGTATTTCATCCCTCGCCAGTTTTCCGTTAATTTCTTATTAAAGAAATGACTACCAGTAAAAATAAAAAAGAGAAATATAAATTTTAATAAATGTAATGTGTATCATTATTATTATTTTTATTTTGTTAAAAATTAATCAATGACAACAACAACAGAAGCACATGAATTAATATACATGAATGTTTAATTTGTCCGTTTCTCTTTTATAAGAATCAATGTATTTATGCAATGAGTTTATAAGTATTTATTTATACTAATTATTAATGAAATGTACATGATTTAGATGGTTTATAAAACAGTGTGAATATAATTAAAAAGTGTTTAGAAGCATTTGCGGTGAACAATGGAGGGCCCGCACTCATCATACTCCTGCTTGGAGATCCACATCTGCTGGAAGGTGGAGAGGGAGGCCAGGATGGATCCTCCGATCCATACGGAGTACTTCCTCTCAGGGGGAGCAATGATCTTGATCTTGATGGTGGATGGAGCCAGGGCGGTGATCTCCTTCTGCATTCTGTCAGCGATACCGGGGTACATAGTGGTTCCTCCGGACATGACGGTGTTGGCGTACAGGTCCTTACGGATATCAACGTCGCACTTCATGATAGAGTTGAAGGTGGTCTCGTGGATGCCACAGGCCTCCATTCCAAGGAAGGAAGGCTGGAAGAGAGCCTCAGGGCACCTGAACCTCTCGTTACCAATGGTGATGACCTGACCGTCGGGAAGCTCATAGGACTTCTCGAGGGAAGTGGAGGCAGCAGCGGTGGACATCTCCTGCTCGAAGTCAAGAGCGACATAGCACAGCTTCTCTTTGATGTCTCTGACGATTTCCCTCTCGGCTGTGGTGGTGAAGGAGTATCCTCTCTCAGTCAGGATCTTCATGAGGTAGTTTGTCAGTTCACGACCAGCCAGATCCAGACGAAGGATGGCGTGGGGGAGAGCATAACCTTCATAGATAGGAACTGTGTGGGAAACACCATCTCCGGAATCCATGACGATACCGGTGGTACGACCGGAAGCATAGAGGGAGAGGACGGCCTGGATGGCGACGTACATGGCGGGCATGTTGAAGGTCTCGAACATAATCTGGGTCATCTTTTCTCTGTTGGCCTTGGGGTTGAGGGGAGCCTCAGTCAGGAGGACGGGCTGCTCCTCAGGGGCAACACGGAGCTCGTTGTAGAAGGTGTGATGCCAGATCTTCTCCATATCATCCCAGTTGGTGATGATTCCGTGCTCAACGGGATACTTCAGGGTGAGGATACCTCTCTTACTCTGGGCTTCATCTCCAACATAGGCATCCTTCTGTCCCATACCGACCATGACACCCTGGTGACGGGGACGGCCGACAATGGAAGGGAAGACGGCTCTGGGAGCATCATCTCCAGCAAATCCTGCTTTGCACATACCAGATCCATTGTCCACAACTAGAGCAGCAACATCCTCGTCACACATCTTGCTGTTGGTGTTTAAATTGTTGGTGATAGGAAGACTATAGAGCTTAAGAACTGACCCCTTATGCTGCACTGTTTATATACCCTGCCCTGTGACAAGGCAGGCCAAGAAAGTTTATATGCCCAATTAAGGTAATGTATTGTCAGCTGACCTAGCCCA